TGAAGGTTTGAGGCCATCGCTATGAAGGTTGGAGGCCATCGCTATGAGGGTTGGACGCCATCGCTATGAAGGTTTGAGGCACTCGCTATGAAGGTTTGAGGCCATCGCTATGAAGGCTGGACGCCATCGCTATGAAGGTTTGAGGCCATCGCTATGAAGGTTTGAGGCCATCGCTATGAAGGTTTGAGGCCATCACTATGAAGGTTTGAGGCCATCGCTATGAAGGTTTGAGACCATCGCTATGAAGGTTGGAGGCCATCGCCATGAAGGTTTGAGGCCATCGCTATGAAGGTTTGGGGCGGGCCTACTAGGTTGGAGGCCATCGCTACTAGGTTGGAGGCCATCGCTATTTGGTTGGAGGCCATGGCTACTAGGGTGGAGGCCATCGCTACTAGGGTGGAGGCCATCGCTATGAAGGTTTGAGGCCACTAGGTTGAAGGCCATCGCTAGTAGGTTGGAGGCCGTTTGAGGCCATCCCTTTTAGGTTGGAGGCCATTGCTACTAGGTTGCCGTTGGAGGCCATCGCTACTAGGTTGGAAGCCATTGCCTATTAGGTTAAGATAACACGTTTCGAAACTTCCGCCTGTGAAGCCCATAGTCAAGTGGAGGATGGCCAAGTCGCCAGTCGACCAAAACGGGAGACACGGAGCCGCCCAGCTAAGCGGAGCAAAACATCCGTTGGCAGATTCGTTGTGAGAAGGTTGTACGGGGTGGGACTCAGATCTTGCAACCATTTTGTGAAGCTCTACTATGAGTGTGTTTTACTCAATTCTATGATTACGCATGCCTAAGAAGTACTGTATGTCAAATGCATCATGCTTAGTTGTTTGCTTATGTTACTTCTGTTTGCTTGATATCATATTTTTGTTTGGCATTTGTTAGGATTTGTGTGTTGTTCTTTTCGTGGCCAGCCGGGTCCAATGATCAACCGCAGGCTGAGGAGCTCACTGTATGGCCACTTCAGGCCTTGGTGGGGAAAGACGGATCAACTGCATGGTTTTCCTTTTTTCTTTTGACCTTTAGTCCTTTCTATTTGTTTCCTTTCATCATTTCATGCCTTTATGCAACACCTTTGTCTCGCCAAGTTTGGGACTCGACCCAACTAGGAGCAAGGACGCTACTAGTAACAAGTGCATCGCTTCTAGTAACAAGTGCCTTACTAGTAGTAACAAGGACGCTACTAGGGGCTCCTGGCATCGCTACTAGGAGCAAGGACGCTACTAGGACCCCATCTCCGGCCGCAACTTTTTCCCGCAGCCTGAAAGAAGCACCCTGCAGGTCTTGGCCAGCGCATGTCCAGGGCCGTTACCTCTGTTTTGCCCGGTGGCCCACGACACACAAAACCGCGGACAGCATGTTTTCGGGCAGTCTCAACAAACTGGGCTGAACTTCACCCTGTGGCGTTGGAGGCCATCCCTCATTGCTACTAGGTTGGCCATCGCTCCTAGGTTGGAGGCCACTGCAACTAGATTGGAGGCCATCGCTAGTAGGTTGCAGATCATCGCTACTAGGTTGGAGGCCATCGCTAGTAGGTTGGAGGCCATCGCTAGTATGTTGGAGGCCATCCTTCCTAGGTTGCGCTAGGTTGGAGGCCATCGCTATTAGGTTTATATTCTTTCCGGTTTGGTGCTCACCGTGAGGTGGAAAATCGCGGAGGGACATCGGACACTTGAGTCGATCAAGAACATGTTTGCACCAAAAAGGGGCGCAAGAGAACTGCATCCTGTATTTGCGTGTGTCCATCATTTTCGTTCAAACCGAGGCCTCCAAGTTTCAGTGCATCTTTGGACAAGTTCCAGGTCAGCGGCGCGGCGCACGTGACCCCGTCTTGGATGTCTGATCTTTTCTCGGCAAAATTGCAAACTAGTAGCGTCCTTGCTCCTAGTAGCGATGCCAGGAGACCCTAGTAGCGGCCTTGTTACGCGTCCTTGCTCCTAGTAGCGATGCCCTTTGCTCCTAGTAGCGAACATTACTCCTAGTAGTACGGCCAGGAGCCCCTAGTAGCGTTCTTGCAAACATGGTCATTTCGGAATGTTGGCACAGACGACGGAAGGGATGCCCAAAATCGGCCATGTGGACATTAGATGCGTTCGCCATGTGTCAGATGTGAAGCAATCATGTTCAATCCAGTTGTTCTGGTAACAAGTGCCTTACTAGTAATAACAAGAAGCTACTAGGGGCTCCTGGTATCGCTTCTGGTAACAAGTGCC